TCAGTTCCTATTGGTTGATACTGCTGTTGAATCCTACATCTTTGCCAATTTGTTCTCCGGGTATTCTATCAATTATTGAGCAAGGGATGTTGACGTGTCCCGGAATAACCATAAATTTGTTTATTTGTCCTTCCAATTCCATCAGTTTTGCTTCATATATTTTGCTGCTCTGTTGTTTGGTACATACACATTCAGGATTGCTAGGTCTTCTTGGTAGAACGACTCTTTTCTCAATATAATATCCTTCTCTGGCTCGAGTAATTTGCTTTGCTCTGAAGTCTACTTTATTTCATATTAATGTAGTCACTCTTTCATTTGATTAATGTTTTCATGGTAGACCCTTTTATCCTTTTGTTCTCAACTTGCCTACATCATTATATTTGGAGTTTTTTATAGTCTGCATATCATTGGATCATGTTTTTAAATCCACTTTGCCACGTTCTGTCTTTTAGTTGGTATATGTAGGCCACTTACACTTACTATAATTACTTATATCTCCAGGCTTAAGTCTGCTGTTATGTATCTTGTCTGTTCCTTTACTCTGTTTTTCATGTCCCTATTTTTGCTTTTTTACCTTCCTGTGGTTTACTTGAACGTTTTATTAGAATTCCATTTGTATTTATCTGAAGGCTTTGTTAGTGCATTTCTTTGTATAGTGGTATTTTTATTGGTTGCTCTAGGTGTTACATTATATACACATAGTTTATCACAGTCTACTAACATCAACGTTTACCAGTTTGAGTGAAGTATAGCCACTTTATTATTCTTTATTTCTCTTTTTAAAAAAAATTTTTTTAAATGTTTTATTTATTTCTAGGAGAGAGAGAGAGACAGTGTGAGCAGGGGAGGGTCAGAGAGAGAGGGAGTCATAGACTGAAACAGGCTCCAGGCTCTGAGCTGGCAGTCAGCACAGAGAACGACGCGGGGCTCGAACCCATGAACCGCGAGATCATGACCTAAGCAAAAGTCGGACGCTTAACCGACTAAGCCACCCAGGCGCCCCTACTCTTTATTTCTCTTTACCATTCTCCCTTTATATTTGTCTTAAATATTTCCTCTACATAGATTTAAAACCATATCAAACAGTGTTAACATTTTTGCTTCAACTATTGAGCATAATTTAGAAATCTCTAATGGAGACAGCAAGTCTATTGTGTTTACCCATATGTGTGCTTCCCATGTCTATTCATCTTCTTTTCTGGTGTTCCAAGATTTCTTCTTTTATTATTTCTATTCGGTTCACAGAAATTCCTTTAGCAATTCTTTTAGGGTAAGGCTGGTGACTGGTTCTCTTGCTTTCCTTTATCTGAGAATATATTGATTTCCTCTTTATTACTGAATGATATCTTTGCCGAATACAATAAGATTTTGTGTTGACAATTCTTTTCTTTTAGCACTAAAAAAATGGGTTACTTCATTTTGGCCTCCACAGTTTCATATGAGAAATTTACTGTCGTTTGAATTGTTTCCCCCTTATAGGTAAGGCACTGCTTCTCTCTCACTGCCTGCAAGATTCTTTAGTGGTCAGAAGTTTGACAGTGCTGTATCTTAGGGTGGATTTATTTGGGTTATCTTGCTTGAGAGTTTTCTCAGCTTCTTAAATCTGTGGATTTGTAGCTTTGGCCAGTTTTGGGAAGTTTCCAGCCTCTAGTACTTTTGTTTTTAGCCCTGCCCTCTTTCTATTCTTCTGGGACTCTGATGACATGAATGCTAAACTTTTTGTTAGAGTCTCACTGACCCTGAGGCTCTGTTCATTTCTGGTTTTACTTTTCCCAGCATATGTCTCTGTTGTTAGGGTTGGGTAATTTCTGTTGTTTCATCTTCCAGTTCACTGATTCTCTTGTCCTCACCATTCCCCTGTTGAGCCCATCCACTGAGCTTTTATTTCAGCTATCATATTGTTCAGTTCCAAAATTTCCATTTGATTCTTTATACGTTGTATTTATTTGCTGAGACTTTCTATTACTTTGCTGAGATACTCAATAGTCTCTTTACTTTCAGATATGTTCCTAATTGTTCCTTGAAGGAATTTTCTGAGGACTGCCATACAATCTTTGTCAGATAATTCCTACATTCCTACCATCTAGGTGAAGGTATTTATTGATTTTCTTTTTTCTTTCTGTTTGAGATCTTCCTGGTTCCTGGTATGATGAGTGATTAGTATTGAGGCCTAGACATTTGAGTCTTATTGATTCACTAAGACTCTGAATCTATTGAAGACTTCTGGCTCCTGCTGACATCTCTCTGGCAGGAGAAGGGGGTAAGGCCACCACATAATTACTGCCATGTTTCCCACTTGACCTGTCAGTACCCAAGGGGGACTCCTCATTATTGCTGGCCAGAGGTGGGTGTTCAGCTGCCTACTAGACCTCCATTGATATTTCCCTGGAGGAGGATGAGTGTCTCATTACTATTTCCCATGTAGCTCCACTAGTACCATTGGAAGAGTGGCCACACTCAGCCGCAGTGGTACTGATTCTTCACTAAGTCTCCTCTAACATCACTCTTGTTTGGGGGTCTAGTAGTAGCACCTCATTATTTTGCTGAGTGGGGATGGTTTCCCACTGCTCTCCACTAATACTGAAATGGGGGTTCTAATTACCACCTGGCACAAGGAAAGTCCTAGTTCCCTACTTAGCTTTTTCTAATACCACCTTGAAAGGGAATTGGTAGTGTTAGGGGGCTTGCTCCAGCCTGGTGACGGTGGAGTCTAAGCTTTCCACTAGATCTTTGCTGAGTGGGAGTGGGGTCACAGTTTTTTCTGTGCTGTTTGTCTAGAGCAGAGCAGTCATTATCTAAAAGTTTTCTATCTTGCTAGGCTACTCATTTCCTACAACGTTGGCCAGAGAGTAGACCTTTGTTGTGGGTTTTTGTTTTTGTGTTTTTGTCTGTGCCTGTTGGCATTTCCAGGTTGCCAGTTTCTTCAGCTCCAAGTCTGGGATATATGAGATGAGAACTCACCAATGTTGTGTTCCATGGGTCCTAATTTTCCTAGACAGTCTACCTTCTTCTCTCCCATTTTAGAGTTTTCTTACATTTCTTTGATATATAACATCCAGGGTTCCTAGTTGTATTTTTCAGTTGTTCCTCCAGGGAGGAATAGGGAAACATATATCTACTCTACCTTCCCACAAGTGGAGTCACTCATTTGGTTTTGTTTGTTTATTTTGGAGTCATTATCCATTATGTGTGTGTGTGTGTGTGTGTGTGTGTGTGTGTGTGAAAAATAATGTGTTCCAGCAGGCAATATTTTTGTTCTAGGTTTAAAAGAATTACATGGTACTCCTTTTTAAAAGCAGATTGTCACTTTCCAGTTTACTTAATATTTCAAAATGGGTTTTCTTAAAGTGTTACATGTCTGTGTCCAGAAAAAAAAGTTCTTTTGATGACAGTATATTCCAGAAGGCCACTTAGCTGCATAATAACTCCATTCTTTATATGACAGCTGTTATTCAAACATAGGCTCATCCCCAAAAGTATTGGATTCAGTAGTAGTTCTAGATATGATTATAGCTGATCAGGAAATACAAAGAAATTATTGTATCAAGACAAAATTATTCCGCAGTGGAGAACCAGCCTCACTGGCTTTTCCAGGTGGACTGGCCACTGGCTACTATATTACCTACAATGCTCAGTTGCTTCTTTCCTCCTTTCTTTCAACCACAGACTTAGAAGCCCAAACATGTTCTAACTATTTCTACTCAGTTTTCACCAATAGGATTATGTACTGGTTAAACTTTAGAGTCTGATAGATTCAAGTCTGAATTATGTGATTGTTCTCACTCCCACTTTTGTGGCTGGATATAGACTAGATGCTGTGACATAGCACCTAAAGGAAGAGAGACAGAGACAGAGACAGAGACAGAGGAGAGGAGAAGAGAGGAGAGGAGTGGTTTCTTCCCAACAAAGGAGGCTGGCAGCTCAGAACAAAAGGCTATAACACTAGTTCACAAGGTAGAGTGTTAGTCCAAGTCTGAGATGCAGAGCAGGCAGGTTGAAGACCAAATTAATTGATAGGGAGTGTCCCAGGATGGGACTAGTAGGCAGCAAAGGTGATAAGGACACCGTCAAGATGGGATGGGAGGAGAAGTGGAAAGACTGAAAGCCAATTCAGGAACTAACCTTACAAACATGACCCAGTCACTGGGGGCATCCCTCTTATGCTCAGCTTGTTGCGTGTTGTTAGGGGAAGCACCATTTGTCAGTGGTGATATAGAAGAAAGAGAAAGAACTGGAGTAGGTCAGCAAGTCCTGTGCTGATGAGATCTGTATCAAGCTGGGTTAAATATAGTGCTCTCCCTAGAACTAAAACAGAGAGTTAAAGTAAGGACAAGCAGAGGGCTATGGTATAGATTTACTTTGCTAAGTCCAGGAAAGCCATATGAGAAGAGAAAATGTCAACCTACATTGCTTCCTTTGGACCTCCATAATATTACCTCTCTTAAGGAAATGACATTATCCACTTTTTTCTCAGACGAGTTCCCAATAGTGAGCTTTAGACCATTGTCTCGGGAACAATGTCACCAAAGACCTCTGCGGACATTACACAAGATCGTGGAAAAGGAGGTGGGTGAGTTAGATAGACAGCTGACAACCAGTAGAGTCTGTCAGGGCAATCGGGCTGTTTTTTTTGAGTTCTTTCTCTCAGAGGCAAAGCCACATCACTTGAAAGGCATTTTAGGAGAGGTGATCTGCCTTCATGAGATCATGGATAATGCTGATGTTATAGTTCTGGGGCAAGCAATTCCATTTTAAAATCCTGCTGTGAATCTCAAAAGAATATTTCCTAAGTTACATGTAAAAGCAAGTCATTAATGCAACTCACATTTATTTCTATGTTTAGCCTGTAGTTCATCAAACCTCACCCTCTGGGCTAGGAGCCCACAGATATCTCATAACACTTACTAAAACGTGTAATGATTTGGAGATGTGTTTATTTTCTTTGCCTCTCCCATCGCTTTTACTGTAAGACTCATCTGCCTTGTTCTCTATTCTTTCAGAGGCACACAACATCAAACCTGGGATAGTAGTCGTTCAATAAAAAGATGCTGAATGAATAAATGAGGAATGAAAACTTTGGATGCCTAAACTATGAGGTAGCTCCTTGGAGTAGAAAAGGTACCTAGTACTATCAATGTCTTTAGCAAAATTTTGTCTAGCACAAAAGATTGTTTTTAACACTTGCCTCTGTGAATTCTGCTGAGGATTCCCCCTGATACCCAGTAGGAACCATTTTGTGGAGAAGCACCAACAAAGGCACCCTTTCCATTGTTCGGAATGTGGAGCATGTGGAGTTTGAACACATCAAAAATATTTCCTTTCGTACCAGTTATGAGAAGCAGAGAGTGAATTGTAATTCACTATTGTATTCTAGTACCCTTGTTGAATATAAGAGAAAATGGGTTTTGTCTTTCCACGTCTCCAGGGATCTCAAACTCCTCAGTTTTTATTACTGTGTGCTGAGTTTCCAGAGCGGACTTGGATGGAACTCCATCCCGAAACAGGTGGGCACCAGCTACATAAACACTGCCTCTGCTTTCAAGTGGTGGGCTCCTTGGACCACTTTCCCTCTTGGGTAGGAAAGCAAAGAGTAGGGTCTCTAGTGAATGTGAGAGAAAAGGAGCGTGGGAAGCCTTGGGACAGCCATCTACCAACTGGGACTTCAAAAGCTGTGGAATAGCTATGTCTGTCCACTGCTCCTTTACCACAAAGAGGAAGACAAAAGGGGAAAAAAAAGAAGCAAGCCAAGAGTGGGAAGGAGTGGGTAGGAAACCAAGTATATGTTAGCATCATTTTAAAGAATGATAGCTAAGGTGAGAAAATAATGGCGTCTCTGGAAAGTGAGACGGGGCACTGGAAAGTTTACGTCAATAAACACCATCTCTGCTGCTATTGTTTCTCCACCTTCTCTCCTCTCTGTTGGTGCTTTGCTTGGTTGGAACTCCCTCAGACAAGTCCTAGGGAGCCTGAGTGGTGACAGTAAAGCTGAGGAAGAGGGGAAACTGGATGTCATTCTGAGAGCTTCTTCCTCAACACTCTTCTTCATTTCCCTTGTAATCTAGTTTTAGTGATAAAGAGCAACCCTGAAAAGAAGCTCTGATTACAGCCTTCCAAGGCTACCATCAGCCATTTATTTCTTCTCTTCATTCAAACTATCAAATCCTGTAAGGTTCTTATGAACTTTCTAGCAGAGGCCCTGCTCATTTGATGACTCATTATAAGGGGAATGGAAAACATTATGAAAGGAGTTTCAACTAATGGGTAAAATGTGTAGGACGTCTCCTATCCAAGCCCCTGCTGCCTTGGAGGGCCCCTTTCTCCATCCCTCAGTCTCCAGCTCAGTGTGAAAGGATGCCTTGCTTGGCCAGAGACAGAATGATCGGCATTCTTCTGGGAGAGGAGAATACCCTGGGCTAGACCTGGAGAAGAGAACCCCAGAGGAGAAGGCCATGGGTGCTTGTCAAATCTGTACTAGGATGGAGATGCTTGCCTCTAGGTTGCTAGTTCAAATCCCAACTGAACTGGGGTCAGGGAGAGGAGGAATTTTAACTGGAGATAGTTGGTCTCCTTTGAGTTCTGATTTCCAGGACACTGTATTGCTCCATTTGTCCTCACACCTGTGGTATGAATCAGCTATCTGGCACAAGGCGAAATGGGCACAATTCTTCCAGCATGAGGATATCGCCTTCCTGCAGCGGAAACAGCATTTAGGGCAGGGCTGATCTCAGAGGGCCATTCCTTGGACAACTTCTCTTTTCTGCCTATATCCTCTTCCTAGGTGATCTCATTCAGTCTCATGGCTTCACACACCACCACCCAAAGTTACATCTTCAGTCCCAGCTTCTCCTTCAAGTTCCAGCCTCATTATCTTCCACTGCATCCTTGCAATCCCCCCTTGGATGGCTAGTAGACATCTCAAACTAACATGTGCAAACAGTACTTCAGAACCTTCTACCCACGCCCATTCCACCCACATATTGGTTGAAGAGAAATCTGTTCTTCCAGCTGCTCAGTACAAAACCCTTGACTCCTCTCTGTCCCACAACCCAAATGGTAAACACTGTCTATCTCTACCATAAAATACATCCAGTTCTCGCTGTCTGCACAGCTGGTCCAAGGGACTAACGCTTCTCACCTGTGTCACAGAATGACTTGTTTTGTCTTTACTGCTCTTCTGTCTATTCCTTCCCAACACCCTGAGTGACTCTTAAAATTTAAGTCAGATCAGGTCATTCTTTCCACGAAAAACACTCCAGGGGCTCCCGTCTCACTCAGAGGGGAAGCCCAAAGTCCTTAGACTGGCCGAGGAAGCCTTATGATCTTAGACTATCATCTCTGCTCTGGTCTTTGCTCACTGCCCTCCTGTCCCACTGGCCCCCTGGCTGTTTTCCCCATATGCAGCTCCCTCTGCACAGAGCACCTTTCTCCCAGACACCCACATGGTCATTCCTCTTCTCCTTCGGGTCCTTCACCTTTGGGTGAGAACTTTGCTAACTGCCCTCCACACATAGCAAAACCTCACCTTTGGTTCCTGCTATCTCATGCCCCCTTCCTTGTTTCTCTGCCTGGGATTTGCTTGTTTTTGTGTGCATTTTCTGTCTCTACCACAACAGGATGTTTTCTCTTGTTCACTGCTGTATCTGCAGTGCCTAGAATAATATCTGAGTTACAGCAGGTGCTTAATAAATATTGTCAGGTGAATGAATGCATACATTTCTGATCCACATTCACGCTCTCATCCCAGGATGAGTATTGTTTCTGGACCCAGCATTTCAGCATTCATACCCATAAAGTGAAGGAGGGTGAGGTTTAGTGGTTTTATTTGAATGTCACGTTTTTTAAAGACCTTACAAGGAAGGCATTACACTGAAACAAGAATCTGTAAAAATCCATTAAATTTTTTCCATTGTGACTGACTCATTTGGTGAGAATAACAAGTTCATGCAGTGGGGAATGTGGCTGGGGGAGTAATGCTGGAAACGAGGAGGGGAGAAACATTTTGTCATTTATTAAAATGAGTGCTACCCCTTGAATTTCATTTCTTTAGATAAACCATCTGGTTTAAGTAGAGCATACGTACAGGAAGGTGTATGAACTTTAAGTGAGTTATTGATGGATTATTGCAAAGAAAACACATCCATGCGCCCTCAAGAAATGGAACATTAGCAGCACCCAGAGTTGGCCTCATACCCTTCCCACTACTACTTTCATTTTGGTGGAGCCTCACATCACCGAAGCCACCAGTTCTGAGACGCTGTCATAAAGTCTAAACCACAACTGATTCCACAACCTTCTTCTAGTGTGGTCCTCACTGCCCTGCCAGACACTGCCTGGTCCACTTCTCCTCCTTCCTTTTTTATCCAAACCCCCTTTCTTGTGTGTACAGCACAACAGTGCACCACAAAGTTCTGCAAGTTTCTGCTACTGATACTACTCTATTACTTCTGGTAATAAATGAAGTGTGTTGGGTTCTTCCTATTAGTCAGATGCTAAGTGCTTCACATGCGTCGTCTTATTTAACCCTTCCCCTCGCTGTCCTCTTGAGGATCCTACTTCCTTTCTCTGTCAGCTTCAACATCTCCACAGGACATAGTTTTTTTGAGGTGGAAAGAATACAAGAGATAACTGACTTGGCAAATGGGGAAACTAACGCCGGGGGAGGGGGTGGAGGGGGGAGAACTGATTTACCTAGAGCCTCCTTAGCTGGTTCATGGAAATAAAAGGACTAGAACTTAGGTCTCTTGACTACCAATCACTACACGTCTCCTACACACATTTTCCCGCTACAGTGCCCAGCAAACAGACTGCCCTGCTGTAACCCACTTTATTTCTTCATTTCAATTTAAATTTCATCAAAGACTTGTCTATGATGTTAGCTACTTCCACTTCCTCATCTCCCTTTTTCTCCTCGACCCACTCCAATCCTACTTCCTTACTGAAACTGCTCTCATCAAGGCTCTCATTTCTCTGTTGCCTAACCCAATGATATCCTCTCTCATATTTCTAGACCTCTCAGCTACTTTTGACCCACCTGCTTATTCCCATTTTTCTCCCCTTCTTTTGCCTTGATTCGCTACACATCCTCAGATTGTCTTCTACCTCACTATTTTTTCTCAATTCTCTTCAGCTGGATCCATCCCCCTCTCCTGAACATTAGGCTTCAGAGGGCCTCAGGTTTGCTCTTTGACCCATATTTCCATCCACAGACTCTCTCAATGTGACTGCATTAGTCCTATGGTCCCAAGTGCTATGCAACTTCTGATGTTTCCCAAGTTAGTAGTTTCACCAAGTTAGTAGTTCCAATTCTGACTTCCTTCCTGAGTTCTAGATGTGTAACTTTTTAATTAACATCTCTGTTTGAAGGTTGTCTTAATTGAATCCTCTGTAAAACAGAGCCCAAGGCAAGGATTAAGATTCTGAGATTTTAATTGGGATGTGCAAGTCCTTGGTATTGAGTGTAGGAGAAAAAAAGGAAAGGAGGCAGAGGTGAGATACGATGTGCTGAGCTGCATTATCATCCTGGCTTCCACCTGAGAAGGCTGCCAAAAGACCCAGCAAGTCACTCAGAAGTTGTGTTCGTTCAACATGGGGAACTTCTCTGGAAGAGCTGCGTGAAGATATCGTATCTTTGAGTTGTCCATAGGAGAAGGAAAAATGAAGACTTTGTCAGGTTCCTTTTTAGCTTCCATTTCCCTTTGTTCATGGTTCACCCTCAGACTGCTAACTCTATACTTCTGGTATGCATAATCAAAACCCTTGCTGCCATGCAGGAAGCCACCTTGGAGGGTGATAATGCCATTAAAGTCTGAACATGGTGGGGGGGGGGGGGTGACACAGTGCTGACGGAGCCCAGGCTGGGAATGAGGAAAAGAATGAGGCTGAACCAAGTTTGTGGCCCAATGCACATGTCTATCAGACATATCACAATGAGCATGACTAGGGGTACCTGGGTGGCTTAGTTGGTTAAGCGTCCGACTTTCGCTTAGGTCATGATCTCGTGGTTGGTGGGTTCGAGCCCCGCGTCGGGCTCTGTGCTGACTGCCAGCTCAGAGCCTGGAGCCTATTTCAGAGTCTGTATCTCCCTCTCTCTCTGACCGTCCCCTGCTCATGCTGTCTCTCTCTCTCCTAGAAATAAATAAAATTTAAAAAAAATGAGCATGACTAAACAGAACTCTTGATTTCTTTCTTCCAACCAAACCAATTCCTTCCTTCCCTACAGTCTTTCTCATTCCAGAAAGTGGCACCATTGTCTCCATTGCTAAACCTTAGTTAAGGAAACCATCACAGAAATGGTTGTGAAGTGGTCCCCTCACTTCTATTCTTGCTTCCTTTCAATGTATTCTTTACACTGCAACAGTGACCTTGCCAAAGGTTATGCAGCAATGCTCTTCTCCCCAGCTCTGGGGCGCTGTTTCACCTTTGAGGTCTCAGATCAAAACACTTAATAGGAAAGACTTTTCCTGACTTTCCTATCAAAAGAGTCCCCATCCCCTAACACTGTCCGCATTACCCTGTTCTACTGCATCCTTAGTACTTACCACTCCCTGAAATGATCTCATTGTGTGTGTGTTCTATATTGTTCCTCTCTACACTATAATGTAAGCTCCATTCAGGTACAGACAATCTATTATTTGTCTCACTGTACCCACAGCACTTAGTACAGTCCTGGGGACATAGGAGTGGCACTATAAATGCTCATTGAATGAATGAGTGACATACTGAACAGTCGGTGAACTGAGGACCTAACTGTGTGGCCAGGAATACATCCATTTGCCTGACTTCTGATCTGGTTAAGTGTTTCCATAACTAGAAATTCTTTTGAGCAGGGAATATGGGAAAATTGAGAAGCATTATTTAGGTCTTACTAGAGTTCAAGGTGGGTCTCGGGATAGTTAACACTCTTTCTCTTGTTTCCTTTGTTTTAAATTAAACTTTTATTTGGAAATAATTGTAGATTCACATCCAGTTTTAAGAAAGAATTCAGAGAGTTCCCTTACATGCATACTCAATATCTTCCAGATATTCTATGGCATAATATCACAACCCAGATATTGAACTGATATTGTCAAGATACAGAAGATCTCCATCACCATAAGGATTATTTGTGTTCTTTTTAATTTTTATTTATTTTTTTAAACTTTATTTTTATTTTGAGAGACAGAGTGAGCAGGGGAAGGAGAGAGAGAGAGAATCCCCATGGAGGCTCCATGCAGAACCTGATGCAGGGCTTGAACGCACAAACTGTAAGATCATGACATGAGCCGAAAACAAGAGTCAGATGCTTAACTGACTGAACCACCTAGGTACTCCTTGTGTTATCTTTTTATAGCCTCAGCTACTTATCTCCTGCCCCCACCACTTCCTTAACGCCTGGCAACACCTAACCTATTCTTCATTTCTACTGTTTTGTTTTTTCAAGAATATTACATAAATGGAATCATACTGTATATATATAAAATATAAATACATTTTATATATTATATATAATTATATTGAATTATATATATACAAATTTAAAAATATATAAATGGAATCATACTGTGTGTGTGTGTGTGTGTGTGTGTATATATATATATATAGACATCTGGACTGTTTCCAATGTGGTTATTACCAATAAAACTGCTATGAGGTTTTTATGTGAAAGCTAATTTGTCATTTCATAGAGATAAAATGGGCACGTGTGCAATCGCTGGGTGGTGTGGTAGTTGCATATTTATTTGAGAAACAGCCAAACTGCTTTCCAGAGTGGCTGTACCATTTTACATCCCAGCAACAGGGTCTGAATGATCTAGTTTCTCCACATTTTCACTGCCCTTAGAAAAAACAGATGGGTATTCCTTAGATCCTACTAGAGGTCCAGGTGAGTTTGGGAATTCAATAACCGACTTTTCTCCTGCCCTATTTTTCTAAAAAGGCTGATGTTCTGTCCCTAGTTTAGCTCAGTAGGAGATTAATGATAAAAATCAATTGTCAGAGAAGGACAAATATCATATGTTTGCACGTATAGGAGGATTAGGAGGAACTTGACGGAGGAACAAGCGGGAGAAGAAGGGCGGAAATGGTGGGGGAAAGGGAGAGAGGCAAACCATGAGAGACTCTTGAATGCTGACAAAAACTGAGGACTGATGGATGTGGGGGGGAGGGGGGGATGGGCATGGAGGAGGGCACTTTGGGGATGAGCACTGAGTGTTATGTAGAAACTAATTTGACAATAAACTATTTGTAAAAAAAAAAAAAAAAAAAAAAAAAAATCAATTGTCATCCAGGTAGAAGAGCCCAAGCATTTTCCTTTAAGAGGGATTGATGACAGGAAAGGAAACTCACACATTTCTTGACCTCCCCAGTCTATTTCAAATAACATCAGAAATGATGACCATTGCTGACCATCTTGTGGCCAGATCTCAGTCAAGACCTTGATAAGCCGTAGGAAATCACACACTCAAGCCAAATCAAGTGGGTAGAGGACACCTTGACATGTCTCCAGGTAGAGAGTTCTACAGAAGAAAGCAGAAAGAGCAGAAAAGCATGTTACCTTGCCTGAGCCCACCCTGGATTAAAGGCTACTTCTAAGGTGGGAAAAACTGAGCTCTAATAGTTGGCACTGGCGCCATGCTGGGATTTTTGCTTTGAGGGCTTGACAAGACAAAACTGAGAAGCAGAAGGTCTGCTGTCAGCTTCTGCCATGATTACCCACAGTGTCATATTCTTGTTTCCTCCAGAGACCCGGCAACCCTCAGCCCTCTCTTGCCTCCCCAGCCTTGCCTTTCTCTCACCTTCTCAAAGCCATCTGTCGCTAACAACCGAACTCTTTGTATTTTCTTCAACACATACGTGTATAGTGGTTATTATTTTCCAGGCATCATTTTATATATATTAGCTCCATTAAAACTCTTAGCGACTCCATAAGGTAGGAATCATTAATGTTCCAGTGTCACATGTAAGGGAACTTAGATACAAAGAAGTCAGGTAACTTGCCCAAGGTTACACAGCTCATAAGTGACAAAAGCGAGGTTCAAACCCAGGCAGCCTGGCTCTAGCATCCACATGCTTAATCACTATATGATGGTGACTTTCTATCATTGACAAATATGTTTTAAGCGATTCTGTTTTTCAAGGCCATTGGTATTTCTCTAAGGGTCGGGGTGCCCAGACTGGCTCAGTTGGTACAGCACGTGACTCTTGATCTCAGAGTCATGACTTCAAGCTTCAAATTGGGCATAGAGCCTACTTAAAATAAAAATATTTTAAAAAATTAAGTGGGTTTTTCAGGAAGGGAAAAAGCCTTCCACCAAAGGAATGAAACATTTAAATGTGGGACTTGAGACAGCAGGTAAAAGAGACATCTGTGGGCACCACTGCCTTTCAGGTGTTGTCTATGTCATATCCTGTCACCCAGGCTAAGACATGGACAGGAACCCCACAAGGAAGAATTTGTTGCATACAATAGCATTATCTTGTAGAGGTTATTTCAAAGAACTACAACTAACATTTAAGAAATTGAATTACTGGGGTGCCTGGGTGGCACGATCAGTTAAGCCTCCAACTCTTGATCTTGGCTCAGGTCATGGTCTCATTGCTTGTGAGTTCAAGTCCCACATCAGGCTCTGCACTGATAGTGTGGAGCCTGCTTGGGATTCTCTCTCTCTCTCTCTCTCTCTCTCTCTCTCTCTCTCTCTCAGTGCCCTCCCCTCTCATTCTCCTCCTCTCCCTCCCCCTCTTATTTATAAATAAATAAGTAAACTTTAAAATTTTTAAAAATAAATTAATGAATAATAATAATAAAAAGAAATGGAATTACTATGTGCCAGAAACTGAGCTAGGAGTTGTACACACAATCTATCGACAGCTGTGTGGGCACTGCATATTAATTCCCTTTTAGAGACAAAAAAATTGAAGCATTGAATGGTGGTGAGTGGCCAGGGAATTTGACTGAGGCCACGCAACCTGGAAAGGACAATCCTAGTTAGGTCTGTCTGAACCCAGTCCTAGGTCTGTCTGCTCTCTTTTTGCTAAACAAAAATGACTAAAAAATTCAACCTTCTAGTTTTGTGTTCGATATTTTGGGTCAGAGTATCAATTTTGGCAAATGACAAGGTAAGAATAGAACTTTCCATTTCCCTACCCATGAATCAGTTACTCCCTCAGATTTTCACATCGTAGCATAGGGCACCGCCATTAGCCTAGTACTCAGATAAGACACACAGAGCTTGGTCTTTGTTACTCCATTATCCTGCGTCCTTTCTGCAATTTAGCAGCAAGTTCAGTCAATTCCATCTCCAAAATGCATCCTGAGTCCATCTACTTCTGTCCACTCCACTATCTCCCCCAGCTCGTGAGTCCAGGCTACCATCATCCATTGCCTCAACATTAATAGTGCCTTCTGAGAACACCCCACTTCACGTGCAATCTACCTCCAAATGGAAGATGTGTGTGGTCTTCTTAAGATAAGGATTTGATCTTGTTACTGTCTTGCTTAAAATGCTTCCAGTTGGTTCGATGCCATATTCCTGCTCTCTCACTAACCCCCAACCACAGCAGAAGAGCCATGCTCCCCCACACTTGGGGCCCTTCACTCATGCCAGAATGGTCTCCTTCCACTGTTCCCAGGGCCGCTACCTCCTCAAAGAGTCCTGCTGTATCTGCATTAGACATCCTCCCTCTGAACTGTATCAATCCATCCACCCGAAGACTCAGACCAGCACCTGGCATACAGTAAGCACTCAGTTAATGCTAGTTTTTGTTACTGCTTTGATCATTGTTCTAGTAGATACTCTAAAAATGCATGCCGAGGTGATTAGTTAAAAGAAGTAGGAAAGAGGAATAACATCAATATCTGGGCCTCTAGGAGCTTTTAAAGAGAGGAATGTTAGATATTTTCAGAGGAACAAGAATGTGGGCTTGTAAATGATCTTTTCGGCCTTAAAACAAGTTATTGCTGTTATCGTCACACACATAATTACTCTGTGCCTAATGGAAGTATGTAAGACAATAGCAACATAAAATGTATTTTGAGAAAACACAACAGTACTTAATATATTGTTAAAGGCAGTGTCTACACCTGTCTGATTTTCCTCTTTTTTTAAAAAAGAATGTTTATTTATTTTGAGAGAGACAGATAGCACAAGTGGAAACGGGGCAGAGAGAGAGGGAGAGAGAATCCCAAGCAGACTCCCTGCTGTCAGTGCAGAGCCCAATGTGGGGCTTGATCTCACGAACAGTGAGGTCATGACCTGAGGTGAAATCAAGAGTTGGATGCTTACCTGACTGGGCCACCCAGGCACCCCGTCTGATTTTCTGAAATAAACCTCACCCTGGCTCTCACGGTCCTGCATCACCTGTTTTTCTATTGCTTAGCAAAAAGTACTGAAGCCAAAGTTTGTCCTCTTTTTAATTTCCCACTATGCTTGCTGACAATCTGATAAATAATTTTCAGGGACATGAGAAGAGGGAAAAGAGTGAAGAAAAATTGGGTTAGAAAACCCATGAAACGGATCATTAGACTTTGTTCAATTAACCACTGCTTTTTTTTTTTTTTTTACATTTATTTATTTTTGAGAGAGACAGACAGATCACAAGTGGGGGGAGGGCAGAGAGAGAAGGAGACACAGGATCCAGGTTCCGAGCAGTCAGTATAGCTGGATGCGGGGCTCGAACTCACAAACTGTGAGATTGTGACCTGAGCCAAAGTCAGACACTTAACTGACTGAGCCACACAGGTGCCCCTAACTACCACTTTTTAACAGAGATAGGAAACCCCACACACCACAGGTTGTGAGGCCGTACTCTTCTTTGACAGATGATTCCCTGGCTTATGCACAAAGTTGTCCGACACAGCAGTCCTTGTCCAAGGCTGGGGGGGAGGAGGGGCTTGCTTTCATAGGTTATGGAAAAGCCATTTGACGAACTATCATAAAGCCATTAAAATGATAATGGCAAAGAAATTCCAACACATTACACGTTACAATTAAATGCATACAGGAGGACTCTGGATGGGATGCATTAAAACTCTCATTGTGCTAGCTGCCCTTGGTAAAGGTGTATTTCGGGCATCGTTCCCAAGTGTGAACAGATAGGACTGGCTTGGAAGGAGCCAGAGACAGCACCACGCCATCGACCTCTAAGCTATTCCTCCTCATCGAAAAGCCAGGATTGGAGACACACCGAAATATTAATACTGCCCATCATTGCAGGCTTTTCTTCTCTGTTCTGTAGTTTGCAAATGTTCTAACACTTAAAAAGAAAAACAAACTTTTTGTCCTCTTAGAGTTTCCCTGGAAATTTCCAAAAGGCAGCTGCTGTGGTATCACATCATCTCCTCCTCCCTCCACAAATGTGTAAATAAAGCAACATCTCTGTCTTTAATTTATAACAGGCTAAACGTTCCCCTGTAAGCTGATAGTCTGACCAGAAGTCTGTGGGTGGAACGGGTGTTGTGTTTTTTTTTTTTTTTTGGTTGTGTGTGTGTGTGTGTGTGTGTGTGTTTTGTCGTAGCTTCTTTTGGCTGATAAACTAGCACTTAAGTGTTTCCCTTTTCCAAACCTCCAAATGACAAGTGTCTTTGTGGTGAGGTGGCAGTCCAACCATCACTGCCAACATGAATGGTCCTGGGCACACTTATTTTTAGTTTGCTGTTTAAACAACAGTTAGGCTGGGTAACCAGGGGCTTTGAGACCTAAACTTCTATGAACCAGAGCATGGAGCCATTAAAAAGAGAGCAAGGTGAGGCAGCAGACCTCTTCAGGAAGGCCCAAGCACCTGTTCTCCAGGTGGGCTGGAGAGACAAGGCAGACATCTTGTCTTGGGTAAGAAGACTGGAATCCATTTTTTACACAGGCAAATTTTATCAAGGAGGCTCTAAAACCAAAACATGTTGACTCCAGCTGGATGAATGTAAAACCAGGCAGCCTCAGGGAACTAATTACAGCGACGAGGCTGATGATGAAAGGCAGAGACCGTGGTAGACATCTGTTCTACGGCCTGCTCAGCATTCTGGTCGCCATTCTGACAAAGCCTAAAGCAAGGTGTCTGAACTCCTGCTGGTCAAGTAGTGGTATGTCACCAAGCAAGGCCAGTTAAGTCTCTCCAGGGAAGAGAAATCCTGTGTGAAGTGACATAAGGGACCTTTAGCTAATGGGGAGTCCATTCATTTCTCCAACCTAGTTTTCCCAGCTTCCTGTCCTGTACAAAGCCAGATTCCTTAGCTTTTTATTTGATTCTGTGAGCTACCCTATATAGCCTTCTAATGTGTGTGTGTGTGTTTTAATTTTAAATAAATAAAATTTAAAAAAGTTTATTTATTTTGAGAGAGCTAGAGAAAACATGGGGGAGGAGGAGAGACAAAGGGAGAGAGAGAGAATCCCAAGGAGGCTCCATGTTGTCAGCGCAGAGCCCAACATGGGGCTCAAACTCACAAACGTGAGATCCTGACCTGAGCTGAAGAGTCAGACGCTTACCCAACTGAGCCATCCAGGAGCCCCTAATTTAGTTTTTGATAAAATTAGCCCAAGTTGGTTTTCCTTTGCTTGGAACTAAGGAAGTCCCCCTCAAATTAGAACCCCAGATATTTCACTGAATATGCAAATCTTTGTCTGGCTCTGGACACAAGGTCAATTTCTCCCCCCATTACCCTCCTCCTCAACATCCCAGCCCATTATTTTCAACATAGGGAAAAATGAGTCCTCACAAACTGTGACATGCTGGGTTTTATGAAAGCATTGGTGATTTTTTCCCCCTTCCTTTTTCCCTGAATGCAAACTTCTTACTATTTCTGAACCAGGGGCGACCAAACATCTCATCTCAAAAGGACCCTGAGACAGGAGAGGGAGTGAGGGCCTGCCCACCACCTAAGTCTCATGGCTGCTGTAGGCAATGCTCATCCTACGGTCCTTGAACTGTAAAGCCAGCTCTGGCATTGACCTCAGAAATCAACCACCTCTAGCAGAGGCACCTCAGACCCTATAAGAGAGGTTGCTGGACATCAAAAACAGTGCCCTTAACAACATGGGTCTCTGTCACAGGCAGTGTAGAAATAATAGCCCCACCCATCCCAACGAAATCTTGCTGCTCCTCCACAGCTACATGCAGAGACAACATCAACATGAACGGTGCAGAATGGGCAATGACCCTCTATTGTTGCCATTGCCATTGCTGCTATTCCTTTGCACAGCGTGGACAAGATCTCCTAGCTCCATAGGATACATTTATATTGCAAGGCATTTCTTTCTTCATTTGATGCATCTCAATATCCCACAAGGTATGAAAAGCCGGCAACCTTAGTGCCATTTTATGGATATGGAAAGTGAAGCAAGTGGTGATATGTCATGTTCAATCTTGTAGGACTCTTACTGACAATAACAATGGTGGTCATAGATGTCAAATTACCAGACCTCTTTCCCAGAATCTCTTCACAGGACAGCAGAAACAGTCATAGTTCATATTTATTGAGTGCTCCCTAGGGGCTTCACATTTATTGAAGTAGATGGGATTGCCCTTGTTTTCAAGGTAAAGGGACTGGGGCGCAGAAAGATTAAGTAATCAGCCTACAACCACATAATAAGTAAATGGTTGAGTCAGCATATGAACGCAAGCAGTCTGACTCCAAAGTCACACCCCAGACTAGAAAGCTACATGTCCGTTCATCCACTTTTAAAGAAAAAAAAAAATCCATTAAGAGTCAATTGGCCAGACTCTTGGGCTTCATTCTGTTCTAATCTGACCCCCATTTGTGACACTTGTTAGTCTGAGAGTAAACATCCCAGACTCACCATGGGCAGAAGTGGCTCTTCACAAATATTTTTAGCTCCAAGTGAAAAGGTGAAAGAACTCAAAGGAGAAAGTGTCCAACTCCATTGCCTAGGCCCAGATGGCTTATAGGGCTTGGGTAAACACTCAGCTCAAAAATGCTAACAAAGCTCCCAGCCTTGGCTTACCTCAGCCTGTGCGTGCCAGGCCAACAAAAGTAGTAGCCTGGAAAACGTTAAGGATCTAATCAGTTCATGCTGAAATCAAACTTGACTTCCTTCTGTAGCGTGTAACTCTGCCATGTTGGTCTGCACAGCCCTGCAGACACCCAAATGTGGCAGGAAACCCAACTGCCTAGGCTAGCAACACTATTTTCAAAGTAGTGTTCAGAGGCTGGGGAGGGAAGGCAGGTAGGACAAGATCCTATGAGTAACATAAGATCAAAGGTTTGATGAGACTTGGTATCATTCAAATGATACCCACAGACATTGGAAAGGTGTTATGCTCACATGGGCAACCTGGGGCAAACTGCTGAGGGCATGGAAGTTGGTAGTTGGCAGCTCTACCGCCTCTCGGTGCCCCCTCTTCTCTTGGAAAGTCTACTTCAGACACCCACTGCCCCCACTCTACCATTTCTCCGCAGAACTAGGGCTTCTCCAGTGTCTTCCATACAACTCTGTCCTGCCTGGCCAAGCCCCTGGGCTGTTTTATATAAGATTGGGTCTTCAAGTGTGTTCCCCCTGTAGCTGTTCATGCCTTCAAACTACTAGTGACTAAATCAAGGCTGATAAGCTAATTCATGATTTATATGCTATTGGGTGATAATGATTTATTTAACCAATTAATATCCTCAGGGAACCTTTGAAATTTACTCTAATAAGAGCCAATGGAATTTTTTGGCACTCTGGGAGCTGCTCTAGTAGGGCTGTATGGTGCTTGTTTTTATCCAACTCTCCTCTCCTTTTAGATAGGGTCATGTGATGATGATGGCACATAAGGACTAAGGAATTTAATGCTCAGTGAGAGATCTGCCAGCATGTTCTCCCTCTGTTGTGGCAACTGTGAGTCGTTCCTTGAAATGGAAGTGTCATAGGAGTAAAGAAGCCTGGATCCCTGAGGCACCATGTGGAGGACAGATGTCCCAGAGGACCATCCAGACCTACAATGGATTTTGGGTGAAAGCAATAAATGTTCTCTATTTTAATTTACTAATATTTTTGTGTTATTGATTATAGCAACATAGTCCAGCATATCCTGTTACAGCTGGTAACTCTTGATCACTTTCAAATCATAATCCATAGTTTGGCTCCTATCTACCAGTAGGAAAGATGTGTGTCACTTGGCTGTGTAACTTTGGGCAAGCTATTCTCTTTCCCTAAAATGAGTCTTGGTGTTCAGTGTAGGACAGGGTGGCTGGTGTTTTGCAAATGTAAGATTCCACTTGATGGCAATCCAAAGTTGCATGGGACCTGTTCTCTGAAGATAACTACTGTATGGTAAGGCATAGAGATTTGTCCCAAAACAGAAATGTTTAACCCAAGCCAAACACTTTATACCTGGTTGTCTCTGTTAACAAGAGGGTCAAGTTCCCAAGTTGTCAGTACATAGCATGTGTTTAGAAGGCTCGAAACTGTGCCAAAAGGCCACAAGATATCCCATTCCCCTTTAAAATCATCCATTCTATCACCTCTCAGCTATCAATATTTGTGAAACTAGAGCTGGTCAAATTGAGCATCAAGCTGACTTTACCAAAGTTTCTTTAGAAGTTAAATTAGAAATTGCCAGGGACACCTGGATGGCTTAGTCAGTTGAGCGTCCAACTCTTAACTTCGGCTTAGGTCATGATCCCAGGGTCATGGGATTGAGCACTGCATCAGGCTCCATGCTGAACGTGGAGCCTGCTTAGGATTCTCTCTCTCTCTCTCTCTCTCTCTCTCTCTCTCTCTCTCTTCCTTGCATTCTCTTTCCCTAAAATAAAAAATAAAATTAAAAAAGTAGAAGTTCCCAGTTAAGAGGGCCACATCATCCAAAACAGCACTTNTTCGGCTTAGGTCATGATCCCAGGGTCATGGGATTGAGCACTGCATCAGGCTCCATGCTGAACGTGGAGCCTGCTTAGGATTCTCTCTCTCTCTCCCCCCCCCCCCCCCCACCGGTCCCTCTTCCTTGCATTCTCTTTCCCTAAAATAAAAAATAAAATTAAAAAAGTAGAAGTTCCCAGTTAAGAGGGCCACATCATCCAAAACAGCACTTCTCAGCCCTTTTCACATGAAGACATCCCTGCTTGCAAAAGCTTTCCCTGGATGTGAGAATGTGTGTGTAACCAATAGTGTCCAACAATCTAAAAATGCACTATTTAAAAAACTATTTCAGTGAATTTTGATTCAAATACTTGAAAAATAGCACATCTGTTATTCAAAATATTTAAACATATGATATATTCATGCCACAGGCATGTGTGTATATTTGCAGACCCCTTGCAATAACTCTGAGGCTTCCCATAGGCTATTCACACCCAGGGGCTGGGGACTGTAAACCTAAGCAATCTAATACTGCAACCTACATTTGGTTCTCATTTCCTCCTCCTTCTATTTCCCCCCGCCCCCACACACCCCAGCCTCTAATTCTCAGGAAAGAAGATGCTAAGGCAGAATGAGGAGTGCATAAGGTTTTGGGGGGAGTAACACCTGTAAGGAAATGTGACGAAGCAAGAATGGTCATGAGGAAGCCACCCAATCAGGATACAAAGCAAGATCACCTGTTGAACCTGAGTCCTCATCAGGCAGCAATGGCCAGGTCTTTGTTCCATGGCTTTGCTCATTTACTGGCTAGGGCCACTCAGAACAGAGTGTGACTTTGGCTCACAGACGAGGCTGTGAGCTAGCTATCCCCCCTATCACTGGGCGGTGAGTCCTTTCTTAAAGGGGTAGCTGGGTAGTGTATCTGTATCTGCCACACCCCACTTTCCCCCCTAATTCTGTGAGGCTAAATGTTACCCTTCATGGTTATTCATGAAGACAACAGAACTCTACAAATGACAGTGTGAATTGCCCTTGGGAAATAGGCCCTCTCTAAACCAGCAAAATTAGAAAGAAAATTATAACCATATGTAAGTATAGTTTAATCAGCTAAAAGGTGAGGCGCCCCTAGGATATGGGACTGCATTTCATTTAAGCAGGATCTCCTTCTGCAGAGGGAGCTCGTTGCAAATCTGAAAAAAAATCAGAGAAGTGCTTGCTGCAGCAGTCTGGCCATCCTCTGCAATGAACATGAACCCTCATGAGTAGGTAAGTACTGCCTGTTTACTGTGGGGAAATCCTTTTGCTAAGAAAGGTGAAGCAGTCATAGGATGGTAGGAAGCAGCAGCCTAGGGAAGGAGCCTTAGGAGGAAGGAGTCTATTCTATGTATCAGTCCTTTCATTTAGCCTGGGCTATGAGGGTATGTTTAGCATGTGGCATGAAGAACAGACTGAAAGCGATCAGCTGGTGGAAACCATCTACAACATCAAACCTGAGAATGGGGGGCATGTCCTGTTAGTCCAGTTTCAAACATGGGAACAGTTAACCTCCAAAGATTCATCTTCCAGAGGCTACCACGATAGTTTCCAAGTGAGAGCTTATGTAGACCAAGGTGAATGAGGGGAGATGGGATCAAAGAAAAGCTGGTCATCCCCTACCCTTGCCTCCAGCCTCCTTCAAAAGGGTGGTCCCATACTTATCTGTTGTACATCCTAGGATTTTGGGTAAGGTAACATTTAAGAAAAGGTTCTTTGATGAAGATAAATTAATCCAATAACTACAGTTTCCTTGGTCTCACCTAAAATCTACTGAAATAGAATCTGCCAGGAGTGTCTTCTTCCAAAATGCTGCTCAACGCACCTCCTGATAGGATGGATAGCTAGATGATAGATGACGTAGATAGATGGTAGGTACATAGATAGATAGTATATTTACCAACATACTAATGTATAATGCATATCATAACATACACACAAAAGTAGAAAATTTTAAATAAATGTAATAAAGGCTCTTGTGTTTTCTCTTTGTGCCCAAGGGATCATCTTGATTTCCTCTGATGTAGGCACACCTTACACGGGAGCTTTCTCACAGTCTTGTCCATGATAGCAAGAATGTGTGAGAAATGGGGGGATGATGTAACACTACTTACAGATGTAAATCCATCCGACTATTTTTAATGGCCCCCGAGCCACTGAGATAGTGAGTGGTACCCTTCATCCTAGCCCCTTCCTTCCTCTGTACCAGGGCTAGGGCTTAGGGGAAGAGTACATAGTGACTGTAGCTGGTTACTACAAGGTGGGGAAAGAATACATGTCTTTTTCCAAACCAGATGGATCCTTTCTCCCTCTTCCCTTTGAGCAGAGATGAAATCCAATTTAAGTAAAGTTGGTATTTCAAAACCGAGCTCTATTCAATCACCCATGTTTAGAACAATGAGTCGAGCTGTTGACACTTGAGTTGCTGACACTTGAGTTGCTGGAATGCTCTCTAGCTCAACTCTGAAAGTCAATCGTGAGCATGTGGGCACTGATGTCCGGGCAACAATCAGAGAAGGAGCAGTGTGAGGGGCCTTGTCCCTGGGCAAAATGGGCAGGTATCAGTGGAGAGGAGATTGTAAGCAGGCAAAGGCAAGGCTCATCTACACCCCAGGGACTTGGGACGTATGAGAAAGGCACCACATGTGTTTGTGTCACTTCTGTGACTCAGCTTCTATTTCAGCTACTGATAAATAAAGGACTGTTTCCAGGTATGCTATGTTTGGTTAAACCCTAAACTTGGACATTAAGTATAGCCCTGAGGTCCCCAAGACTACATTGCTCTAAACCACAATTATTTCACACATGTTGGATTGAAAAGAAAATTAAAATTAGAAGCATAAAGAAAATGAAATAAATGTCTGTGGGTTTCCCACACAACCTGCAAATCCCCTTTCCGTAACACCACAGTTCTGCTTCTGTTTTGACAGCTCTTTCCACCTCGGGGACCCATTTTCAGTACTATTTCCCCAATGTGTTTCCCCCCTCCCCATTTTGTTCATTCACAGTCTCTCTCCCCACCCACCCCCCACGCCTTTCCCTCCAAATTCCCAGGTGCCAATCTGCTTTTCCAACTCCACCTCCAGATACATGTACAGGCTTTGCCCCAAAGCCTCCCTAGTGAGCAATATTACTTTCTGGGGATAGCAAGCACTGACTCATTGCCTCCTTCTTACCACAGTTTCCAAAACACAGTCTTATTTCACCCTTGTCTCTACCCAGATCTCTGAAAGTCTGGGCCACCATGTACGTAAACAGACTCCTAATGAGGGATCCCCTGCTCATCTTCCTAATACCGTCTCCCTCTCCATCCCTCCTCTGATGACTGTTCTCCCAAAAGTCTGAAGAAAGCAGAGCTTAAGGAACTAGGACCCTTCAGGATCCATCCTTCTCTGTATCTCAGACTTTTGGCCAACAGAGGAAATCACAATCACACTGCTGCTGTTAAAAAAAAGACTTGGAGATTTTTAGAGAATGACACTGTGTAGACAAGATGGCACCAGTCAATCCCATCTTAGTGGCACCACCTGGGCAGGAACAGTCCAACCTAAAGATGAGCCCAGATTTCCTCTGAAGTGGTGAGCTAAGTGAATTGTACTCTTTTTTGTTCTCCCAGCCTCAGTGAGAAGCAGCAAGGGATTCAGATGCGAGCAGTTGAAGATGAAAGCTCTGAAATTCTTATGTTAAATACAATTCTATTTATCCCTTGATCAGATCCAAACAAGGCAGGACCTTCAAGACACTGAGGGTTGCATGTTCAAAAGGAGAACGATGCTATGCAGCAAAATCAACGAGAGTGCCCTCTTAAATATTTCTAAGTCGAAGCAGCTTGAACTGGGTGTTCCTACCTCTTTCAGTCCTCCCCCTGCTGAAAAATCGGTCTCCTGGTGACTCAGAATTAGTTCAAGATACTTCCCCACACCCTTAGTCTCTGTCAAGATTAAGCCTGTTCCCCACTGATTTCCAACACTGACCCCACATGCCCTCAGGTGATCCATCTAGCAAGGCGCACACAGCTTTTTATTTGGGAGACATGGGGCGGTATGTGTCACAGCCTTTGCCTTTAAAACTCCTCAAAGCCAATGAATAGCTCTGCCCCAGCCTTCCTGGAGGAATTTATTC